CCTAGAAGCGACCCGCTGTATGCTTGTATGGCCTGAATACATTGACAAATGTGTAAGGGCCGCTGCACCGGCGCCCGGGTGCAATGTTAAATAGGTAAAGGTTCCCACATCAAGGACGGATGTGGGCAAAGAAGCTAGTCCATGAAACTAAAATTATGACATGAACTTGGAATATAGGTTTCCTTACATAAAAATTAATGGAATTAATAGATAATATGATTCATATGAAGTTAAATATTTTGTGCATTAAGGAAACTAAATGGGTTGGAGAGAAGGCTATGGAAATTGATTGTTCAAGATTTAAACTTTGATATTCGGGTAGTAGTTGTATTAGAAATGGTATAGATGTTATTATAAATAAGAGTTTGAAGGATAATGTTATAAAAATTAATAAGATTGAAGATAAAATTATAGCTTTAAAGATTGTTGTTAATGCTAAGATTGTTAATATTATAAGTGTTTGTGCTCTTTATGTAGGTTTGAATATGAGTTCTAAATTAAATTTTTAGAATGAATTATAAGAATTAATACAAAATATACCTCTTGAAAAAAGAGTTTTTATAGGAGATTTAAATGGACATGTTGGTAGAGAGATAAATGATTTTAAAAACATTTATGATGGCTAAGAGTTTTGACCGAAAAATGAAGGTGGCAAAACCATATTAGATTTTTGTTTAGTTTATGATTTTTTAATTGCTAATATTTTATTTAAGAAAAATGAATGAGCATCTTATCACTTATAAAAATGGATATAGTACAACTCAGATTGACTATTTTCTTATAAGAAAATTAGACCGTTTAGATTGCAAAGATTGTAGAGTTATTCTAAATGAAAATTTATATACTCAACATCGATTATTAGTTTTAGACTTTAAGATAAAGAGATAAAAATAAAAAATAAAGTAAAACGATATTCTATGATTAGATATGAACATTTAAAGAATATTAACAAAAATATTTTTGAGAGTAAGATTTTAGATCTTAAAATTTGGTCTGTCCATGAATATGCTAATATTACATGGGAAAAAGTGGCTATTGATATTAAGAATATTGCAAAAGATGTGCTTAGAATATCAAAGGGAAAAACTCCTAATGTTAAAAATAGTTAGTTGTGGAATCCAAATGTGCAAGAAAATATTAAAAATAAAAAAATTTGGTATAAAAATTGTTTTAATTTTAAATATTCTGATAATTGAGAAAGATATAAAGAAGCTTGTAAGGAATCTAAAAAAACAATATGTGATACAAAGACCTTAGCTTTTATTTATTTATAATTTTATATAATAAATTATATACTAATAAGGGAGAAAGATATATGTATAAGTTAGTCAAACAAAGAGATAGGAGTAGTAAGGATTTAGTTCAAATGAAGTATATTAAGGATGAAGATCAAAAAATACTTTTTTAAGAAGATGATATCCAATAAAAGTGGATGAGATATTTTGCTAACTTTTTAATGAAGATTGTGAAAATAAGATTGACAGTTATGACCTTAGCACCCTAAATGAAAATAAAGAATTCTGTTTTTATCGGCGTATTAATAAAACTAAAGTTAGAGAGGCTTTAAAGAAAATGAATTGTGGAAAAGCTGTTGGACTTAATGATATTTTAATAGAGGTGTGGAAATGCTTAGGAGATAATGGAATTTCTTGGCTTACTAAACTTTTTAATATTATTTTGAAGATTAAAAAGATGTCAGATGAGTAGAGAATGAGTGAGTTAATTCCTATTTTTAAGAATAAAGGTGATGCACAAAATTGTGCGAATTATAGAGGAATTAAGTTAATGTGTCATACTTTAAAACTATGAGAGCGAGTTACGAAACATAGGTTGCGGCTTGATACTAATGTTTCTCAAAATAAATTTGTATTCATTTCGGGTAGGTCGACTATGAAAGTCATACATTTATTAAGAGGTTTGATGGAGAAATATAGAGAAAATAAGGAGGATCTATATATGATATTTATTGATTTAGAAAAAGCATATGATAAAGTTCCAAGAGAAGTGCTATGGAGAGTTCTCGAAAAGAAAGGAGTTAATAACGCTTATATTCAAATCATTAAAGATATGTATGCAGGAGCTATTACTTATGTTCAAACACAAGGTGGTTTGACCAAGTATTTCCCTATTTCGGTTGGGTTACATCAAGGATCAGCCTTAAGCCCATATCTTTTTGCTTTAGTCATAGATGTTCTCACTAGACATTTGCAAGAGGATGTACTTTGATGTATGCTTTTTGCTGATGATATTCTTCTTGTTGATAAGACTAGAGAGGGAGTTGAAGGTAAACTTGAATTAAGGAGGTCAACCTTAGAGTCTAAAGGTTTTCGCTTGAGTAGATCTAAAACGGAATATATGGAGTATAATTTTAATAGTAATAGACATAGTGAGGGGATTGTGACTTTGGGCGATCAAGTTATTAATAAGAGTATACGTTTTAGATATTTTGGATCTATTGTTCAGAGTGATGGTGAAATAGATGGGGATATTATTAGCAGAATCCAAGTTGGATGGTTGAAGTGAAGGAATGCATCAGGCCCGTTGTGTGATAGAAAAATACCCCTCAAGCTCAAGGAAAATTTCTATAAGATGGTGGTGAGGCCTACAATGCTTTATGGTGTCGAATGTTGGCCATTAAAAGAGAAGCATAATACTAAGTTAAGTGTGACAGAGATGACAATGCTCAGGTGGATAAGTGGTTTTACCCTTAGAGATAGGATACAAAATGAGCATATAAGTGAAAAGGTTGGAGTAGCTCCAGTAGAAGATAAGATTAGAGAGAGTCGCCTAAGATGATTTGGTCACATAAAACGGCAGCCTTTCGATGACCCGGTTAGGAGGGTAAAGGTATTAGATTTGACTTATATTAGGAATGATCTTTCTTTATTAGATTTAAACGAGAATTTGACTTTTAATAGGACACAATGAAGAAAAAGGATTCATGTAGCTGACCCCACGTAGTGGGATAAAGGCTTGATGTTGTTGTTGACAAATAATGATAAATTGATATGACATATAGATGACTGATATAATGATAAAATATCACTTTAAAGCTGGAGTCTTACCTTGCAATTCATAATTATATCCACGTTTGCAGTTATATGATAATATATATAGAACTGATAGAAATATTGAGACTGGTATAGCATAACATAACATATGATAGGTATATTGTTAGATATTGATAGCTGTACAAGCACAATGCATTGATAAACATATTGATATAAAATATTGACAGATTGCTATAATAGAACTATCAACATGAATATAATTGATAGAAAATTGATGTTTATTTCCCAGCAGCACCTGTTATACTTTTATATAAATTTTTTATCAATTTTTTTATAAATGGATATACATCTTTTGCTAAGTGAGATACTTTTGTTTTATTGATCATATTAATTTTTATTATTGATTGATATTGATTAGATGGATTATTTAACATTCATATTGATAACTTATTGATTGATATTGACTTAAACTGTAACATATATATTGATTCTTTTACCTTGTATTAAATATAGTGACAGAATTTTGGTAATTTGTTGGGTTATAAGCTCATTATATGATTTTTATTGATTTCAGGCATGAGAATGGGTCAGGACTTTCTGGAGTGAGACTGATCAGTGCTTTCAAGTTTTATTTTATTTATATCTTTTATTTTTTTTAATCAAGAGTTTTAAAAAATATAGATTTATATAATTGAAATCTCCTGGCCACTGTAAATTGCATTTTGAAGGAATGAATATAAAAATATTTTGATATATATGATTTATATTTGCTTTTATTGATTTTATTTAAAATGATAGATATTTAGTGACTCTCACAAATAATTAAGAGATAAAACTAAACAATTATTTTAATTTAGATCATAGGTGTTACATTTTGTGTGATAGAAAAATACTCAAATTTAAAAGAAAATTCTATAAGATGGTTGTGAGACCTGCAATGTTTTGTGGTGTAGAAATCAGAATGTTGGCCATTAAAAGAGAAGCATAAAATTAAGTAAAGTATTCCAGATATGGATGAGTGGCTTTACTTTTAGAGACAATGTAAAATGAGTATGAATGCGAAAAGATTGGAGTAACTCTAATTACAAATAAGATTAGAGAGAGTCGCCTAAGATGGCTTGGTCACATAAAATGCCAGCCTTCCGATGACCCAGTTAGGAGAGTAGATATATTAGATTTGACCTATGTTAAGAAAGGTAGATGTAGACCTAAAAAGACTTGATTATAAAGTATTATAAATGACATTTTTTACTTAGATTTAAATGACAATTTGACTAATATGATGAAATAAAGAAAAAAATTCATGTACCCGACATCACGTAATGGGATAAAGACTTGATGTTGATGTTGTTATTGTTATTGGCATAAATCCTATTCATTAAGCAATTTTGATTTTATCTTAGATTTCTAGTAAAATTTTATGTTGGGAGGATAATTTTTAGATTATCATTTAGAGCAAGTACTGTGTTTTCTGATTTGCACTAAAAAACACAAAAAAGCTTTCATGGCTAAAAGTTTGGAACAATAAATTTTGATCTTTTTTGTGTGTTCTTTTGCGCTTCTCTTCCTTGGATTTGCTTTAAGGAAAACCCACTAAACCATAAGAAGTCCTACTTACCAAAAGGCCTTGAATCAAGGGATATACTCCTTGATTTCTAATCTAGAGATATCAAGCATCAATCTCCGTGGAGCTTTGATGAATTACTTCAAATTCTACACAGATTTCATATATGTATTAACATTATGCCACCTTATATTTGTAATCAACCATGTGGCCCCCCTTTATATCTATAATGGCATTGAGCTCATTTAATGAAAATTTAATTAAAAAAAGAAGTCATGCTTCATACTTGTCAAACAAATTCAAAATTTTGACCAAGTCATGTTTCTTTTCATTAAAACATAATAAGCTCTCCAGGATGAATAATGTCATAACAAATAATATTATTTAGAAATGTATATAGTTCACATGCACTTTTGGAACATTACCTGACCAAGCCCAAGGAAGCTGTTGCTATAAAGGTTATAAGTAGCTCCTCCAAACTTAACAATGTGAGCGAATTCAGATGGTAGGGATTCTTTAGTAGCAAATGTTATCTGCAATATATGTAATAAAAAATAAGCACAAACTTCCCTAAATAGTAATCCTTATCAAATGATTTTTAGCTAAGCTAATGCAAAATTCATCATCACATTTTCCCTGATAATTACTCTAAGCTTCAGGCATAAATTAACCGAAAGAATGTGAACACAAACAAAGTTGCCCAAACAAATGATGAGAAACGTATGAAACAAATTATCAAATGCAACAAAACTTGCGCATCGATTATAGGAACCTTCATCATGTTAGGCATTATCGCATAATTTAATTGCAAAAAAAAAAAGAAAGTTCTAAAAGAATGAGTAAAACTAATAATACAAATAAAATCCATTTTATATTTTGCTCCATAAGTTTATTTATGAACTTTTTGACAGAACATTAAACTGCATCAATGTCACACAAGGATTAACCTGAGTAGAAGCCCCGCCAAGCTCAATTATCCCAGTGGTCTCTTGAAGATCTCGACCTAGCATATCAAGGGCATAGTTTGCAGCAACCCAGGCAAAAACCCCTTCATCAGAGCCTGATAAAATAACGATAATTAATCATAATGTGTTTAGTGAAAGAACAAACAGAAAATAAAGAAGACATTAATAATGGGAGGAACCTTTTCAAACAAATGAATAAGAATAATATTCAAATTTGCATGCAAGATGTGATTAACCTGCCTGAGATCACACTGGCCCAATCATCTCGGAACTGGAATCCAGAAGTTGTCAAGACCCTCCTACAGGAATCCAAAATCTTCTCCCTAACTCCATCATCAAGCATCCGCAGGCCCGCGGTTGCCATTAACCTGATCTCGGTATTACCCCATTGATTCTTTGGAATCTTCCCCTTTCCGAAATCCAGAAGCTCAACCAGCGCGGCTCCTGCGCTCGACGGATCCCCCGAGTAAGACGAGAGTCCCGGCCTCACCTTCATTTCCGATGTCGAGGCTTGATCGAGCACGGGAAGCTTCGTTTCCGGCGACATCGTGTAGCCGTAGACATGGAGGCGAGTCCCCGTACTCCCGGCGTCGATGACAACGCTGAAACGAGGGTAATCGATCCTTTTCGAAGCCACAAGAACGTAAAGGAACAACGAGACCGCTGCAGCGACGGAAAAGAAGATCCATATGTTAAGATGGTGCTGCTTACGGTTAAGGGGGGCAACGGGAGTCCGGGAGGGAATAAAGAGGCGGGGGGGCGAGGACGCGCGACGTGGCAGCTTTGCGAAGGCTTCCATGGAGTTCGCCGGCGACTGATTATCTTCCTTTCAGAGTCAGATCAATATCCAATAGGGTTTGCTTTGCATCGGCACCGCAGAAGAAGGGGGAGGAGAGCTTTCCCAATCCTCCCTTCTTCCACGCATCTGGTTGTGGCCGGGAATTGAAAATGGAAGATTATTATTGGAATCTATACTGTGGTGAATCGCGATTCGCCGGCAACTGTACGTACAACTGTATTTCGAGTCCGCCTTTAGGGACACCAACACGGTCCGACCCGATTTATTGATTCATAGGTGAAAATTTTTAAAATGGTAGTAAAACCAAAAGTTCCGGCATTTGGAGTCGGATCACTTTTATCATCAAATAACGGTTGCTCTCCTCTCGTTTAACCCATTTTTATCTTTAAACAAGGATCGCTTTAGGGTTCCTTCAGACAAATTCGTAATATCAGATTTATCCCAAAATGGCATCTTATTACTGTATATGTTGAAATGTCAAAGCTAAATACTCTGTTTATGATTTTTTTTATGTTTGTTATTTGAGAAAATTTTATTTTGTTTGTGATTTATCTAAAAATAGTTGTTAGGGTTTAGGATGTTCGATTGTCGCCTTTTTGCATGTACTGTAAATCAATGAATGTCGTTTGACTGAAAATTGTTAGGATATATTCTTCAATTTTTTATATTCTAATGCCCGACAGAGGTATGCTTTTATAAATAAACTGTATAAAATTGTATGTAGAATTATAATTTTTTTTAAAATTAAAAACTTAGCTTTGTATTTCTTAAATCTTTTTTAAAAATGTTATTTTTATTCTAATACATAGTTGTGTATTGTTGGGTACAAGCTTTGATATAACGATATTAATAGCTTCATTGTTATTTTTGTACATTTTAAATCTTTTGAAGCTTATACATAGCTGTGTATTGAAAATTTTATGAAAATGTTATTTTATCCTAATACACAGTCGTGTATTTCTTATTTTTTTTTAATTATTTTTATCCAAATAAAGTTGTGTAATTCTATGTACAAGCTTTGGTACAATGATATTAGTAATTTCTTTGTTGTTTTTTATTCATTTATTTAAAGAACACAACTGTGTTTTGGGATTTTGTTTTGGAATTGTTGTTTTTATCCTAATACACAACTATGAATTTCTTAAATTTTTCTAAAATTTGGACAATAATTGTGATGTTCCTTATCAACACTAAAATCAATATTATGAGCATAATTGTAGTACATATCATATGCTTCCTTATCACAATTATACACAATACTTAGTGTATAAGAGAAAAAAGATTTTACACAGATGCATACAAAACTCAAAAATCTCAAAAGGCTTTTAAATGAACAATTACAACACAAAAATGAATGAGAGTGTATTAGGAAGATTAACACATATCTAAAATAAATTTTCTAATACACAACTGTGTACATACTCAAAAAGCTTTCAGATGAACAAATACAACACAAAAAAGATTGAGATCACCAATATAAAGCTTGTTACACATTTCTAATATAATTTTTCTTATACACAACTATGAACAAGTTCAAAAAGTTTTCAAATGAATGAATACAATGTAAAAATGATTGAGATTGCCAATACAAAACTTATACACAACAATAAATCTTCATTGCATATTTCTCGTTTTTCTTTCTCAGTAGGTATCAAAAGTGATATTCTGTCAAAACCCTAAAAATTTAGACGCTTTTGGACACTTTCATGGTCTTTTTCTTAAAAAGTAAAAAATGAGTGTCCGGATCAAGTTACAAAGAAAAAAAAAAATTAATATTAGAAATCCACGTGTCAAGAATCGGGTAGGTCGTCGGGTCGCAAAGAAAAATATAGATATTAGAAATCCACGTGTCTGCATTTAATTGGTGTCCGAATGAAAAGCTATGTCAGGACTCCGCACGTTATAATTTCTCTAATTTACATGGCCCGAGCTCGTTTGTGTCGATAAATGATCCAATTTGGTTCCGCCTAAAAAATGTTGGTTCATATATATTGATCCTTTTAATAAACAGATTTGATTTGAGTTGTACATTATAATCTTTATATTAAATATTTCGGTTGATTTCCAACTTGATGTTGACTCAAAAATAGTCCATTTAATCTATTTTTTTGTTGTTAAGTTCTTTTATTTGATGGTATAATCTTTTAATTGTTTTTTTTTCAATTAATCTAAAATCTATGATTAGCAATTTAATAAACTTTTTAAATTAAAATATGTTATCTGGCCTGATGCAGGTTCATCTTTTTGATCCATTTATTAAACGGGTCGATCGAGTTCGATTTATCAAATTTAGAATGGATCAATTCCAGATTGGATATGCAAACGATCTGCTTTGACACCCCTAACTTGTAGGTAAACAAATTCAATTTTTATCACAAGAGGTAAGGAAATAAGATATTTAAAAACAAAATTTACTCTAATTTTGTTTTTGTTGTTAACTTTTATATTAAGAAATATTTCCATATTCAATAGAGAATAATCCTTAGAATCGCTGATGTTGTTTTTCTTAGACTTTTCACATATATAAAAATAATATGAGAAAAATCTGGAATGCTCGTTATTCATTAAACATTAGCAGTCCAGCTGCTATGCAATCAAGGATAAACAGCTTACCTCCTCTCGTATCATCATAGCTTCATTCTTAATTTTTGCATTCAATGGTTTTGACTATATAACCTTTAAAGTTGTTGTGTTGCTCCATCTTAGTTAGATTATTATGAAATCTAATTTGGTGTTGACAGCAGGGGCGGAGTTTTACTGTATCGTTTAATTTTCTCCGTATGAAAAGGGTTGGATAAATTTAAAAAAAAATCACACTTTAATATTCAATGAAGAGAGGAATTGGAATAATTACTAAACTATTACATCAGACCAGTTGGCTTAATTATATAAACACATCTACGAAGGAAACTTCATTATATAAACACATCTATACATTACTGTCTTCGTCGGAAGGATACGATTAATCTAAAATGAGCAAAGAAAATAATAATCCAAACACGTACAGTTGTTAATTCCTAATTGTCTGGCGATTACAAAGATGAAGATGAAATATACTAAAAATAAAGAGTTTAAGAGGGCATGCATCCGATTCCATAGCGAGTGTTGGGAAAGACAAGGAAGAGACTGCTACAAACAGCCCCAACCATCAACGGAAAGCTATCCATGAACTCATCCATCTCCTTCTTGTGTCCAGGAAATAGGCAATTTGTAACCCTGTGATCAGACAGGCCAATGGCGGCGAATACCAGAACAGACATGGCAGCATGGATCAGATCCACAAAACCCATCATGTAACGCTCGTCGCACGGGACTTGCACCTCCACATCGGCGCCTACGGACTTGAAAAGAGCCAATCCCCTAGGCGTCACGAATCCGTAGTACACTTTCCCGTCCGGCGCGCGGAAGCTGTCGGTGAAGTGGAAGAGAAAGCAAGACAGAGCGCAGATGCCGAGAAGGATGTAGATCATTGTAGTGCTTACCGGGGTGCAAGTGCCATCGCCGGAGGCCGATGGGAGGAGCATCTCGAATGTCAGGAGAGTGCCGGTGGGGAGGAAGTTTACCAGCATGGATGTTTTTGAGAGGGTTTTTTGCATTCCCTTGGCGATTATGCTGCGGCGCCGCTTTTGGCCGGTTGTGGAAATGGGAAGGACGGTGCCGCCAGGCAGCGTGGCGGCTGGCCGGGGAGAGGAAGGATAGGAGAAGGACATGGTTTGCGGGGTGTTCTCGGGATCGATATCGGTGCTGCTGTAGTCCGAGGGATCCATATTTGAATCTGCCATGCCGACCGAAGACGAAGATAGAGATGCAGAATCAAAGAAATTAAAGGGGTCGGTTGGTTATATGGGAAGCTCCTCTTCACTTGGCTGGTGACCGGCCAAGCCAGGCGCAAAAAGGCGCCATGAATGCGCCTCTTCACGTAAAAGAATCTACACGAGGCCCCATCTATTCAGTTCTTAGTTCTATGGAGCAAGTCAAAACTAAAAGGCAACGATTCATCCATCCACAACTTCAGTTACAATGTAATGCCTTTTGTCCAATTCGTAAATATTTTTCAGGTTTTTTTTGTAAGCGTAAGAATCAACCAGAGGGTGAAGATGAGAGCGAAATCAAATTTTCTTTTAATGATTTGCAAACTTAATTATTATATATATAAGGCATATTTTAAAACAAAGTTTTCACTTGATTAAGCATATATATTGATGAAGTATTAATTAGAAACATTTGAAATAAATTTTGAATAATTCAAACTAAGATTTCAACAAATTTACAATCCAATTGAACATCTTGATCAAATGAACCCAGCAATATCAAAATGTTCAAATCCTAATCCAAATAAGCTAAAATCAAGCACTTGTGATTGAAAACTTAGATATATTTATTGATGGATCAAATGCTCTCAAAATATTACATGCTTACAATCAAAACAAACATCTCAATTAGAAGAATATAACAAGCCCAATATCACTAAATCCAAGATCATTATGACACTTAATGATGAAAGAGTAGCATATGATCAAAGGAAAATAATGAGTTGTCCTATGTAATGTTTTAGAATTTTGACTAATGTTACCAAAATATTTATTATCCCCTTAAAAATGATCTTTGAGCTAGCTTTGGAGAACAGTTGGTGATGATAACTCTTGAGCTATGACCGCCAATTAACATCGATGAGCACCGCCAACAACCGACATTGCTTGACCATCATTGTTAGATCATTGAGTGCCACCCGTTGACTATAATCACTAACCACTTTTGTATGACCGTTCTTGTTTAACTATTGTTGTTTCATCATTGTCTCCCGATTGTTATTGCTCGAATGACATTCGTTAATTGTCATCGCTAGATTATTATTGTTTAGCCGATGTCACCTAACTGACGCTACTCAAGTGTCATCACCCTCCTCAACATTTGCAATAATAATTAATACAAACACAATAAATCAAGATAGTATTAAAAAAAAAAAAAAACTTTGTAATCTCATCAACTTTACTTGAAGAGAGAGCATGCTTATGTAATTTTACTTATCTCGTAGAGTATTTCAATATTATTTAGGTCTCTTAATTTTTTTCTTTTTAAGATTATTCATATATATTTTTATCTTTATATGTTAGATTTTTTTTTATAATGCCAAGTGTTAGTATCTCTATTTACTATCACGAATATTTTAACACAGAAAATATTAAATGTATAAATATATAAAAATTTTATTATGTATACATATATCCAAAAAAATTTGACACTGCGAACAATTATTACGTCCTCCTACGTCCGGTCGGAGCTTGTTGCGTGTTAGAAAATACACGGCGGTAGAGTTTGTAAATTCGCGTCTGAGCGTTGTACGTAAGTTTAACACACAAACAGGAAAAAGGAATGAACACCAAGAGTTTTTACGTGGAAAACCCAAAAATGGGAAAAACCACGGGGCCTCGCCCAGTTGCAAATTTAAATTTTTTAACTTTCAGCAGCCATTTGCTGCTTGCCTGTGCAATTTGTTTTAGCACCTTAGCTAGCGATTTCTCTCATACATAGTTACATACCTACTTTTCTTCTGAAAACTTTTTCGAAGCGATTCTTTGTGCAGTTGACTGTGGTTTCTTCTCTTCCACCGAAAATATTTCTTCTTTTCTGGCATTGGATTCGTCCGAGGGTTCCTTTTTAGATTCACTTATTCGCGGCGGGAGGCGATTAAGTGATGGCATCATCTCTCACTTATTTTGTACACCTGGAATCCCTAACCTCTACTTCTACAACAATCCAACTGCGTTCTAGAGCCAATTTCCTGTGTAGGGCGCCAGCTGCGGGCTGCTTCCAAAGAGGCCTTCTCAAATTTTATGAGTTTGATTGCAGTATCGGGTCCTTCAGGGTTGCCAAGAAAAAATGGGGAATCTTGCTTGGAGCTGCTATAACAGGGCGAGAAGGAAAGAATGGTCTGCAAGCCTTCGAGATGGGGAGTGGTGGTACCGGGGAAGATGAGGATGAGGGTGAAGATGGAGAGCTCGATATCGCAGATGATGCGCTTCGGGAAACAATCAAGAAGAGCAAAGAGGTTCTGGCAATGCAGAAGGGCCTACTCCGCCAGGTGCTTCTCACGACACTCCTTGTTTGAATCTATATTGTTGATTGGAAGCACCACACTCCTTGTTTGAATCTATATTGTTGATTGGCTGAAGAAAAAATCTGCTGGTATTGTCGAAATTCTTGGCTGGTTTAGTTTAGTTTGCCTCAAGATGGTCACCTACCTTCTTGTACCTAGAACTAGAAGTTCTTATTTTTTTCATGATAGTTTCTAGATGCTAGTATAAATTTGCTTTTTAGTTCCACCACCTTTTATGCTCACTATCAATGAAAACCGTTGCTTCGAGGTTATTTTTTGTTTCAAGATAGTCTTATCCTTCATCTTGCGCTTGCTTGTGTCTATTTTTTAAACTTATTCTTAAGAAAGGAGGATGTCAGATTGGTAGCATTTCTTCTAAATTGATGAGAGAGAAGTTGGCATAGAAGATGCATAAATATAAGATTATAGGCCCAGATCAAACACTCATTGAGTTCTGAAGAGCTCTAGTTCAGTTAACAAATTTTTTTTTTGCGATGAAAGAAGAAGATGATGTTGTGATGATTGAAGAAAAAACATTTTGATTTCAGCATTTAAGAGCAAAAGGAGATTCTGAAGATTATGTTGATTGTAAAAGAATCAAATTTATTATTCATTCATTGAAATTATGGGAGAGAGTAGAGTATTGGCACGTGGGCATGATGATCATCGTTAGTGTGGTGGATTAGTATTCGGTATGATCATCATCAGTAGCCTTATCAGTTATCCCAACTATTTGGGTTGGCTGTCGTAGACCAGTGGTAGTAAATACCGATAATAAATAGTCCTTTATCAAACTGGCATCACTAGGGTGTCATTAGTGCTATCAATCTATCTTGTTAATTATATCCGATTCTTCTTATCTTGAATGTGAAAATCTTATGCGTACTCTTCCTATTTTTTTAGGTAAGGCTTGCGGCTCATTGTCAGTCGCTTCTATTCCTGCTATGTCAGAATGTGATCACTGCTGAGTTTGAGTTCCCTCAAGTTCATCATTTTTGTGCAGATTGCAGAAAGAAGGAAGCTAATTTCTTCTATAAGAAGCGATGTTGTTAATACAGAACTGGGAAAAACTTCATATAGTGACAATTCTGATTCTTTCTTAAGCGGCCAAAATTCATCCACAGAAGCTGATGATGAAGAAGAATACAGCAGAACCAACATTTTTGATAGACACCATAAAAAAATTCCAGATGAAGAGGAGAATAGTGTAACAGATGAATTACTGATTGCGGACATTATTGGATTCTCAAGAAGAGCAAGTTTGGAATCAGCTGAGACTGTTACTGTATCTCCAAGACCTTTAAAGACATCTGAACCTTATATTTTAAGAGTTGAGGATTTTGAGGAGTTGAAAGAAGAAGGTATTCAGGGTGTAAATTCGGAGCAGAAGGTGGCTTCTAATGAAGAAAACAAAAGCTTCCATCCTCTGGCTAGAGAAAATGTCATGAATGTTATATTAGCAGCTGCAGAGTGTGCACCTTGGTCCAAAACAGGTTATTGCATTCTTTATTAGTTCTAAATAGGGTTGTTATGTTTATGTTATTATCTAGGTCTAAGCTTGGTTCTTAGGTTAATTCCCATATTTGTAAGCTTTTATGGCATCTTCTTTCAATTATTTTTGTTAGTACTATATAGCTTATAAGTTGTTGTTCTCCAGGCGGACTTGGAGATGTCTCTTCTGCTTTACCGAAAGCTTTGACAAAGAGAGGCCATCGAGTTATGGTATTTATGCTCACTTCTATTTTCCTATTATAAATGATCATAACGGAAGTTCTTTGGAACATCTTGTCCGCATCTACTACTATTTTATTGGTGCTTTTATACGTTAAGCTTTGCTTGGTTTCTTATGATGGCTAGTGATATAGGGCAGTTTAAGGTTTATGATTTTTCAAGGTAAGCTCATACTATTTGATTGTGTGTGATGCTGATTAATGAAGTTATGTGTTACTTTTTGGGAATTTTCCAATTAAGGTTTTAATTCAAACTACTAAATAAACATGCAAAATTTGAAGCAATGGAGCTATTTACAACTCAAGATGAATCATAGAAAAGAAAGAACCCAAATCTATGTGAAGCGGTAATGAATCTCCCATGAGTGATTAATCTTAAAAATTTGAGATCATGCAAAGAAGCATGTCTTATTAAAATTTCATGCACAAAGTTGAGATCCAGGTAAGTGCAAGATTCAATTAAATACAATTGCACTTTCAACCAAGTAGAATCTAAAAAGAAGAACAATGATAGAAGAACTAATCAAGTATTGAGGAAGGAGCAGGCATCACATCCCAGAAGAATTTGTAAGAAAAAGGGGCTTCAGAGCTAATTAGCTAAAGGAGTTTTTTTTTTATTATTAATGGCCAACTGTATTATAGAATTATTGATCCACTCATTTATAAAAGTAAGCAAACTGACAAAAAGAAACAAAAAGATAAAAATGATCTTGAAAAATTTATTCGGTTGAGATTTCTAACAATTTAAAATTAGGAAGGTATGGTTTTGAGAACTTATCTAATATTGGAAAGAACCCGCGTTAAGATAAACTCAACATAACATATGTTATGTATAATTTATAAGATATGTTATGTATAATGTACCTTATTGTATATATTCGGAGATTTGAATTTTGAAATATAGGGTATTACATTTTCCATTGTACCATTAGATGGTTGTAACATAAGGTATAATTGCCATCACTTCTTGCTATACATTTTGAGCCTAATATAAAAGATCGCGACTTAGATTGTTCCTTGAAAGTTGCATTTTGCATTAATTAAAATTACAAAAAGGGTAAAATTGACTATAAGCTGGAAAGGAAAATCCTATGTTTATGCTCCCTTAACAAGAGGGAGAAGCATTTCTATTTGAATCAACCCATACATAAGAACGGCTGAAAATGTAAAGGATAAAAAAACAAAGTTGAAGCCCCTCAGTTGGCAAGATGAGGTCTCCCATATAATTTGCATTGAGCACCAACAAAATAAGCTAAAAAATACTCCAGAGGGGAGGGGGAATACCAAGAAGACGATTGAGACAATTGAGAAGGTTGATTAGTACCTCAATGCTCTGGCAGAGGCCTAGCTAACTTGTGGCACTCAATGCAAGTGACGTAACAGGAAGTCAACATTGCACACCTGAGGGGACTGAGGCCCTGCTCGACAGATAAAATGAAGCCTTTTTTCTTTTCCTTGGTGCTGTGGCGTTGGGCCAAGTTGCAAGAGCTCCTTGTCAAAGTAAAGCTTAGAGACCTGGCTCCGCTTCATTTTAAGATTAAGAATTCTGTCAGCAGCTTGTTCCATATGCTGAACCTGTCCAGCTGAAAATACCTGTTGAGAGCTAGTGACAACACCGACATCCTTTATGTTATTCAATTTGGCATGCCTTCTAAAGCCATTATTTAAGCCGGTTTAGGCTGAATCGGCCCAACCCCAACTGGCCCTACAAGGGTTGGTTCTGTGCTATAGGAGACGGATCCCCTTTGGGGGGAATTGCCGCCCAAGCCTAGTGGATATTTTAAGAATTTACATAGAAGCTACGAAATGGAAAATTAAAAAAAAAAGGGATAATCTCATTTTTAAAAGTTTTCAACTAACTTTAGGACAAAAAATACCATCTAGAATAACACACGTGAAATTTTCACTGTACTTTACAATGATCTTAATGCAAGGTATGATCTGGGCATTGTGTTATATGATCCATTTTGGAATTCATGACGAAAGCCTGTTGCTATTATATACCACGTGATATTTATGGACTTGAGATATGGTCAAAACTTACCTCATGATGCACATGCTTCTAGGGTACAATTACTTGACAGGATGTCTACAGTAAGGTGTCATAAAAGGCAAATCAAAATAAAAAAGGCCGACTCATAGTAAAAAGTTAGTAAACACTTGATTGGTAAACATTCAAGCAAAAAAAGAGATAGAAAGAGAAACTCCGCTAGGGTTTTTTGGTTCTGACGCGAGTCTTGCCGCCGCCCCGCCTCCTTGAGGAGGACTCCACCGTCAGGATTCCCCCCCTATCTTCTTCCACTCCCTCTCATGCTCCCTTGGTTAAGGACCTTTTACATTGGAAGCTCCTCCTAGCCTCGCAGACCCCTATTTATCACGACTTCTCTAACTCCCTATCTCATCACCCCACTGAAAGCTTCACTGTTCATTTTACTAAGTCCCAGTTTGATGTTGAAGCTCCTGAATGGATCTTATCCCTCATTGGTTACTCAATCGGAAGAAGACCTTTCTACGAAGCCCTACTTTCTGTTATAAAAAAAAAACCTGGACCCTTAAGGGAGAACTCTCCATTCTAACCCTTGACGATGGGTTCTTCTTACTCTACGACATGGCTTGGATCGGAGGCCCTTGGTTTTTCTTTGGAAAACCATTCATACTCCAAAAGTGGACTCAGGACTTTGTCCCGAAGCGTGAAGAGTTTGTCTATCCCTATATGGATAAAAATTAAGAATCTCCCCCTTTCTTGCTGGACTTCGGAAGGGATGTCCAAGGTTGCTAGCTGTGTTGGTATGCCCTTAGCAGTGGATGCCCTCACTACGGCCAAAACCAGGCTCACGTTTGCCCGTGTTTGTGTTCAGGTGATGTGCTCTGCTACCTTACCTGATGAAATTTACATTTCGGTTGATGGAAAAATCTCTCCTCTTACCGTGCTCTATGACTGGAAGCCCACTCCCTGTACTTACTGTAGCTCTATCTACCATGCTTCCCCGCAATGCCCGAAAAAACCTACTCCCCAAACCCAAAATCTACCACCACCGAGAGGGCGCAGCACTAGTCGTAAACCACGAAAGTCTCAACCACCTCCCCCGCTTTCCATTCCCAAACCTATAGCCTCAGGTCCTATACTACAAGCCAAGCCCCCTCCTCAAACACCCTGTATCCCCAATCTCAACCCCCCCTCTGGCGATAACTATTTACCCGATACTGCCCTGTATAACCCAAACCTACTATTATTCACTCCCTGTACAACCCAAGTCCTATACTACTTCCTCGCACTCGATTTTCTCTCATGAAGATTCTTATGATAACTTCTCTCTGTCCAATCCTGGTCGCATTTGGATCAAATGGAATGCTCAAAAGGTCTTCTTTAAGCCGCTGTTTACCTCCTCACAATTTATTCATGGAATGGTTAAAGTGGCAGCACTGACTTATGTTGCGTTTCTATTGTATACACATCCAACTCTATTAATGAGAGGCAAATTCTCTAGAACCAAATAGATCACATTGCTGGAAATATTTCCCTCCCGTGGGCTATCCTTGGAGACTTTAACTGTTGTAAGTATGCCTCTGAAAAGGCTGGTGGAACCCCTCTACATCACAACAAACTTGGAGAACTTAATAACCATAGCCTCAATACTGGTGTTTTTGATTTGGCTTTGGTGGGACATTTCTACACCTAGTTCAACCAGAAAATCGATAACCCGATCCATATCAAGCTGGATAGAGTTTTTGTGAATCACAATTGGCTCAATTTATACCCATATTCCTTTTATACTATGGGGGACCCGGACATATCTGACCATTGTCCCATAATTCTTCAAACTGAGAGCATCCCTAAGCACAATCATCGCTTTATGTATAAGAACTATTGGCACAAGTTCCCGACTTTTTGGGATGATGTTTTGAACGTATTCTCTCAACCTACCTCTGTCAGCCCCATTTGTGATCTCTACCACAAGCTTAAAGACCTTAAATTCAACATTAAACACAAAAATTGGAAATCTTCCAATGCTCTCAAAAGTGATATTGAGGACCTCTCTAGTCTCTACTTTCCAAGCTGATCTCCTTTCCTGTTTACAAGACAACCCTTTGAACCCTGCTCTTAATGCTGCTTTAAAAACCACCACCTGTAAACTTACTTCTGCTCAATCCCGTTGGTTTGATTGGATATCCCAAAGAGGCAAAGCGAAATGACTTTCATCTGGTGAAGATGACTTGAAGTTTCTCTACTCTAAAATCAAGCACAGAAACAACACTAGTTTGATCAGGAGCATTAATGCTAATGGTGTTTGATTCACCTCTAGCTCTGATATTAGCTCTGCTTTTATTAACCATTTTAAAAACCTATTTAATGAACCCAGCTCCTACCACTGTTGCTCCTATTCCTCCGGGAAATGTCATCCCCCCCCCCCCCCCCCCCCCCCCCCCCCCCCCCCCCCCCCGACTCTTCTTGCTGATATGGTAGCTCCTTTTACTACTGAGGACATTAAACAAGTTATTTTCTCGGCCCAGGTGCCCCTTCCAACGCTGCACCTGGGCCGGATGGTTATACTTTTGAATTTTATAAAGATACTTGGAACATTATCGAGCCTCAAATTTGCACTGCAGTGGCTTCCTTTTTCTCCACTTCCTTTATACCAAAACAAGCCAAACATACTGCTATTGCCCTTATACCTAAACATCCTCATGCTTCCTCTGTAGTTGATTACAGACCCATCTCATTAGGCAATTCCTTTTACAAGATCATTGCTAAACTTTTAGCAAACATGATGAAATGTGTTATGCCTCACATTGTTCATCAAAGTCAAGCTGGCTTTATCAAGAACAGTATTATTTCTGACAACATTATCCTAGCTACCGAACTCTTAGGCACTTTTAACCAAAGAGCTAAGGATAAATATTTTTGTGCTAAATTTGATATACACAAGGCCTTCGATACTGTTTCTAGGCAATTCTTACTGGATCGTCTTCAAGCCAAAGGGTTCCCAACTATTTTTATCTCTTGGATTAAATCTTGTATTATGGATGTTTATTTCTTGGTGACCATTATGGTGCCCTTGAAGAAGGTTATTTTAGCTCCTCCTCTGGTTTGAGGCAGGGATGTCCGCTCTCCCCTTATCTCTTCTCTATTGTCATGGATGGTCTCTCTTCATGTTTAGATGAAGTTGTTGCTAACCAGGAACTCACGGGGATCTCTTTGGGTAACACCACTATGACTCATATTTTATATGCTGACGATCTGCTTGTTTTTGTTAAGGCGAATAACAGAAATGCTACTAGCCTACACTCTATTCTACAATGATTTGCATCTTTTTCTGGGCTCAAGATCAACCCGACCAAAAGCACAATACTTATCTCCAATGATTGCTGCATCAGTGAAGATATTTGTAACATTTTAAACATCCAACAAACCCAAAGCCTATAAAATACCTTGGTCTTCCTATTTCCATGAAGAAACTTACCCAAGCTGACTTTCTACCTCTCATTAAGAAAATCTCCTATGTTCTGGAGGGTTGGAAAGCTAAAACTCTATCATTTGCTGGGAGAATTCAATACCTTAGATACACCATTTTCAGCACGCTTGCTTACCGGATAAGAGGGTCTATAATACCAAAGAATTGCTGCAAAACTATCACAAAATTATGCTGTAGATTTCTTTACTCCCGAGATATTTCTAAAAAGAAGCTACACCTAATAGCTTGGAAGGATACCTGTCTTCCTAAACCTAAGGGGGGATTAGGTCTCCCCTCTATTGATTCCCTCTCTTATGGGTTTAACTGCTCTATTATTTGGAGATTTCTGAATGAGGATAAACTTCTGTTCAATTGGTGGAGAAAAATGTATTATTCGCTACGTAGTTCTGGTTACTAGAAAAATCTTTGCTTGGTTGCTCATAATATAAAACAATGGCTTTCCCTCAGAATTCATTCCAAAAGCTTTTATTCTCTTCTTTGGGATCCCTGGTGTTAAGGCAGATCTATTATGGAATGTATGGGCCCTCTTCCTCCTTTGCATAGTCTCGAAAATTACAATTGTTGGAGTGTCTCCAGCATTATTCATCTTGGTAATTGGTCTCCTTCTTACCTCCTGAGATTATTAACGACATCCTTAAGATCCCTATTTTGAGTTCGGGATATGGCACTCTCTGGCTTAACTCTGATAAAGTCTCTAATCGAGGCTTTAGAAAATAATTTTGTATCTCCCACCCCACTGTTAGCTGGTATAATTTTGGTTGGCACAAACGGTTTGCTTTGAGATATTCTTCTTATACCTGGTTGGCCTTTAAATGTGGGTTAAAAGCTGCTGATCAACTCTCTCGTCGTGGCATTTCGGTTAACCCAAATTGTAAATTCTATGCAGCACCTACCGAATCCCACACCCATCTCTTCTTTAAGTGTGATTACTCTGATGGTATCCTGAAGATTCTAATCCCCCAATTCGCAATCTGCTGCTTAGGCCTAATCTCTATTAGGCCTACAATTTTCTTGATGAGATAAATGATAACAGAGAGATTCATTATCTTTATTGTCTCCTGTTAAATACTGGGATTTACTACATTTGGCGAGCACGTAATGATATAACATTTGGTAATATTTTTGAATGTCTGAATATTGTGGCCAAGAAGATCAAATGAGCTATACTTTCAAATTGGAAAACTGGAAAAATGGCTACAATCTTACTTATATGCTAGGCTAACCTGGGTTCTTTACCCATTATTTTGGTTTGGGAGGCTTTGTTTCCTTTGGTTTAACACAGCCCCTTATGGTGTAACTCTGAATGCTGGGTTGGTCCTCCATTGCTGGATTGGTTCCCCTGCCCCTGGATGGTCCTTCCAGGCAACCAGGGGCATTGCCCGTGCTGCCTCGAGAATTTTCAGATGGAAGGATTTTTGGCTGGACGATGATGACTGTTGTAGCTTCATCCCCTTGGACAGTCTTCTTGGCAACTAGGGGACCATTTGATCATCTATGATGAATTTTGTCGACCGTTTGTTTTAGCTGCAGCTTGAGTCCTGCTTTTGTTTTTACTACTCAATTTTGGCTCTGTTTTTCTTTGTTTATTGGGTGGTATAGTTTTTGGGTTCTTTCCCCCTTAACGCTTTTTTTGTCTTAGCTTATGCTGGTTTAGTTTTATTGTTCCTTACCTGTAATATTTCTTTTTCATAGTTATATATAGGCTTCTGCCCCAAAAATAACCCTCCGTGCCCCCCCCCAAACCCTAAACCCTAAACCCTAAACCCCCCCCCCTAAACCCTAAACCCTAAACTCAAAAAAAAAAAAAATTAAACAAACAGTTTATTTTTGACGTTGACTGTAGTAGCCCTTCGGTCTAGAAGAATAAAAAACTTCAGGTGTCCAGGTAAGTTGGTCCATATGAACCTACTGGGCTTGCTTTGTCCAAATTGATGTATAATCTGGTTCTTTTCTGGTGAAGTTGAATTGAGTATGCAGTTCATTTTGGCTTACAGGTTGTGGCTCCACGGTATGAAAATTACAAGGAGGCTCATGACATAGGAGTTCGCAAAAGGTACAAGGTTAATGGACAGGTATGCAGTTATATCAAGAATTTCACTCTTCACTTGTATATGAGATTTGGAAATAGCTTTTGGCTCATTGTTAGTTTCATTACGTTTTGTTACATTGTGTCGTGCAGGATATGGAGGTTGCTTATTTTCATGCTTATATCGATGGGGTGGATTTTGTTTTTGTTGATAGCCCAATTTTTCACAACCATAAAGATGATATATATGGTGGAGATCGAGTGGTAGGATAAATTGTTTGCCAAGATTCTTTGGACCTTTAAGAAAATTTATAATGCTTCAGTTTTCTGGTATTTGCAAATGACCCCTAAGTTGGAAAAAGCAAACATATCGTATTGATGACATTGGTGTGAATTTTGGAGCTGAATTCACTTATGCTTTTGGAACAGGATATTCTAAGAAGGATGGTTTTGTTCTGCAAGGCAGCTGTGGAGGTATAAAATTAGATGATGGTCATTTTAGCTTTTATCATTTAGTTTTTTGTACACAATAGGTTTATTTATTTATTAATTGGTGTTTGAATAATAGATTTACATATGAAGGATGCTTTTATTCAAATATAGGTCCCTTGGCATGTTCCATGTGGTGGTGTCTGTTATGGAGATGGAAATCTCGTATTTGTTGCAAATGATTGGCACACTGCGCTGTTGCCAGTTTATTTGAAGGCATACTATCGTGACCATGGATTAATGTTATATGCTAGATGTGTTCTAGTTATACACAATATAGCACACCAGGTTTGTTTTAATGCAAACAAGTCTTCCATCTCTTCCTATCAAGTTCAAATGAATTTACGGCAAGTTGAATTAGCCACCTGTAACTCTTACATGGTAATTAATATTTCATTTTCAGGGACGTGGCCCTCTGGAAGATTTCAACTATGTAGATTTGCCTAGTAACTACGTGGATCTTTTTAAGCAATTTGATCCCATGGGAGGTAATCACTTCAATATATTTGCTGCAGGATTAAAAACTGCTGACCGTGTGGTTACTGTGAGCCATGCTTATTCCTGGGAGCTCAAAACTCGAGAAGGTGGCTGGGGTTTGCATGGGATCATAAGTGAAATTGATTGGAAACTCCAAGGCATTGTGAATGGGATTGATGCAAAGGATTGGAATCCTGAATTTGATGTGTATCTACAATCAGATGGTTACACAAATTATACAGTAGAGACACTTGATACAGGAAAAGCCCAGTGTAAGGCTGCTTTGCAACAAGAACTCGGCCTACCGGTCCGCGATGATGTTCCTATTATTTCATTTATTGGAAGGTTGGACCATCAGAAAGGCGTCGATATTATCGGGGATGCAATGCCTTGGATTGTAAGGCAGGATGTGCAGCTGATCTTATTGGGAGCAGGAAGACATGACCTTGAAGACATGCTGAGGAGATTTGAGAGGGAGAATCATGATAAAGTGAGAGGATGGGTTGGTTTCTCAGTAAAGATGGCACATAGGATCACTGCAGGGGCTGATGTCCTGATGATGCCATCAAGATTTGAGCCTTGTGGTCTGAATCAACTATATGCAATGATGTATGGGACTGTACCTGTTGTTCATGCTGTTGGTGGTTTAAAGGATACTGTTCATCAGTTTGATCCTTATAAGGAGACCGGACTTGGGTGGGCGTTTGAGAGAGCAGAGGCTAATATGTTGATAGATGCATTGCGAAATTGTTTGAAGACATACAGAAACTATAAGAGCAGCTGGAAGGGACTTCAGAGGAGGGGAATGACGCAAGATCTCAGCTGGGATAATGCAGCTCAGCGCTACGAGGAGGTTCTTGTTGCTGCCAAGTATCAGTGGTGATGATTGTATTTTCTGCTGCTAATGGCTTTTGTTGGCTATAACGGTTATGGATGTGTATTAGAGGATGATAGAGCAGTGCTACGTTTTATATCAATTGTTTTTTTCTGAGAAAGCATTATCTGTTATTTTAATCTCAATTTGTTGTAAACTGTTGTGTCAGTAAACGTTGTTCAGTGACTTGTATACTATAATATATGCATTTATCCATAGTTTAGATTCATCTACATAAATTATAAGATGTGTTCATTGAAAACAGGAAGAGTGGGAGAGCAGGAAAAGCTGGATTGATTGGGAGGGAGATTCGAATTCTCTTTTATAATTATCATGATTTTATGATATTTAGAGGATACGGTTCTTAAACATTAGCCATCTTATTAATATTAATGGTCAGAATGGTTTTTTAATATAAGCAGTTTTTTTTAATGCAATAAATTCTAAACCCTAAACTTAAAAATGAGTTGAATGGTTGAGACAGCATTACAAACCGTCTAACAAGATTAGATTGCAACACAACTCATCTTGATCTTTTGGTTGGAAGCAGAGGCTACTAATTAAGAAATATTGGGTTCAAGTTTTTATGTATGCAATATTTCAATGAATTTGTCTTAATTGATCTATACGTCCTAGCAAGAAAACCACCATTAAAGAGAAAGAGACGAGCTTTTCATGGTGAAACAAAAATGCTTAAAAGGGAAGGAAGAAAAAGCATTGGCAATAAAGTCACACAAGCAAAATTTCTAAGGGGAATGCTAATTCCTCCGTTATTTGCAAGAAATATTCAATTTTAAAAATTTCGATAATAAATTAATGAGAATTAAAAAAATATTTTTAAATCACAGGATTGTTAAATGCTCTTATCAACGGGCATGTGTAAAGTATAATTATCTCTTACATTTTTTATAAGCACATATATCACATTTATGGACGAGGAATATTGCCACAATGAATTGCAAGGAAGATAAAGAGCAATAGTCACCAACATATAATGATATTCAACAGCATGAATTGAACTATATATATAAATATATTGAACAATGAAAAGCCAGAATAGGCTTCATTATTTAAATGATGAACCCTCACTGGAACCTCCTTTTCCCAACAAAATATAAAAAAGTAGATAAAAATTAACAGATGAACGTCGTAGAAACAGTGAAATACACCGAAAGATCGTAGAAGACTCTGACGAGAAGATTCAAATACCAATATAGCTTTTACTAGCCATTCTGGACGAAGGTGCCCACATAACCAAAACCCATGATGAGAAATGAGATGGACTGAGGAAAGATGTACAGGAAATAGCGGTCTTTGCAGTAGCTGTAATCGTAGCATGCGCATACAAATAGGTATAGTCCAATTCCAAGCTCCCAGAAATGAAACCTGATGAGAAAGGAAAGCCAATATGCTTATTTTTTTAAAAAGAGTAGGAGCCAACTTAATTTTTTAAAATAAAGCGGAGCTGAAGAGCTGAAGAGCTGAAGAGCTGAATTATTAAAGCACTTATATGATGGTGCTGACAACATGAATTATAAGGAAGCTCAACGTAATTACCTATCCGAGAGCTTCATTTGGACTTTACTTCTAATGTTGACAGTTGGTTCGGCCTTCAGCATGTCCCCTAATTTTTCAGTGACAACCCACTCGTTTACGCTGCCAACCTCCAGAAGACCAATGAAGACGGCTTTGCATCGGTGCAATGAAACAACATTTTCAAATAGGACCCAGACTACAATTAGGTGGAAAGAGCTGCAGAGGAAATAAAATAAAATAAAATGCCATTCTGAATATTTATCATTATTATATGCCAATTGTTTGATGAAGAAAGTTACGGCAGGAATGAAACAAGAAATGAATATAGAAATGATCTTGTATTATATATTCTGCATACACCTGCACACATATATTTATAGACAGTACAAACGAATAGTATCTATACACGTGTAAGTGAGCAGTTACAAGAGTTTAAGGCAAACATTATATATTTGTCATTATTCACCCGCAAGCTGATGGATCAGGTTGAACAGTAAACTTATTTTGAAGTAGATGAAAGCGAGGATTAGATAAAGGCTTCGTCAGTATATCCGCAATTTGATCTTCTGTGGTGACCGGAGATATGATAATAGTTTGAGACTGAATGTGACCACGAATGAAATGGTGATCAATTTCTATATGCTTTGTTCTAGTATGAAAGATCGGATTGTTTGCAACTGAAGTGTTATCACAACTAAGTTCTGTGGGAGATAAATTAAGAATTTGAAAATCCTGCATTAGCCTTCGGAGCTATATTATATTTGAAATTGTAGTTGCTAAGGCCCGGTATTATGCTTCAGTTGATGACCTAGCAACCGTATGTTGCTTTTTAACATTCCAGGATATTAATATATTGCCTAGGAAAGTGCAATATCCCGATGTAGAACGCCTAGTGTCTTTGTCTCTAGCCTAATCAACATCAAAAAAACGATTTTAGTTCGAGCAGACCATTTGAAATAGGGAGATCGAAATGCGCAGTTCCTTTGATATATCTTAGCAGTCTTTTAAGTAGGCATGCTTAGAATTTGGACTATGCATATGTTAACAGAGCAAATTAACAACATATGAGATATCCGATCTTGTTATGGTAAGGTCCTGCAATGAACCTATAATAATTTTGTAAACCTTCACATCAGACAACAGGGGGATCAACATGAATGGTAATTGGTAGTTTGGTACAACATGGATCGTAAAGAGGTTTGCACAAAGTCATTCCAGCAGTCTTAAGAATGGATGCAACATAATTTGCTTGGGATAAGAAATAGGATTGCTATGATTGAGTTATTTGAATGCCCAGAAAATTGCATGCAGACCCAAGATGTTTCATTGCAAATTGGTTGCTTAGCTGCTGAATAATAGTAGATATCATAGAAGGATTATTACCTGTGATCAAGATATCATCCACATATATAACTAGATAGATTTGAATATTTTTCTTATGGAAGATAAGCAGAGACGAATCTGCTTTGCCATGAATAAAGCCGAGACACTTGAGATATATGGAGAAGGTGTGAAACCATTGCCTTGGTGCTTGTTTAAGGCCATACATTGCTTTTCTATGAAGACGCACATGATTAGGATGATCATTATCTTCAAATCCTTTAGGTTGCTTTATATAGATAGCTTCATCAAGATGTCCATGAAAGAAAGCATTGGTGCCATCCAATTGATGTAATTGCCACTTTTGAACGAGTGCAATAATGAGAAGAGTTCTTATCGTAGGAAACTTAGTCACAAGATTAAAAGTTTCAAGATAATTAATATCATATTGCTAATGATTTCCTTGAGCTACAAGCCTTGCTTTAAATCTTGCAATAGAGCCATTAGAATGAAATTTAGTTCTAAACGTCCACTGACTGCCAAGAACAGGAGTATTAGTAGAAGTTTGAACCAGTTTACATGTGCCTTGCTTTTGCAAAGCAAGAAATTCCTCAGCCATTGCTTTCCTCCATTGAGGAAGTTTGATGGCCTCAGAGTATGAAGTTGGTTCAAGTTGTAGAGAATAATCTGAAGTATCCTGAATATGAAGAAGGTTGAGCATTTGCCTTGGTTTAAGAGAACCAGTTTTTAATCTGGTTGTCATAGGATGATGAGACAGTTTGCTGTGATGGTAGAGGCGATGATGTGGGAGCAGGCCTGGAAGTTAGAGAGCTGGAGTTTTCAGAGTTGTTTATCTGAGGTGGTGTTGCTTCAGTAGCAACCTCAAGTAAAGGTTGCTGTGAGTGGATAGAAGAAGACCAATTGTTGGAAGTAGACAGAACAGACTTTGAGAGGAGACCGGAGAGTTAGGAATTCGGAGATGAGGTGTAGTTTGGACAAAGATATGAGTGATACAGCTGATTGAAAAGGAAACGAATTTTCTTCAAAAGTAACATGTCGAGATGTATATATTTTATTGGTGGTGGGATCTAGGCATTTGTAACCATTGGAGACACTTGAGCAGCCTAGAAACACACATAACAAAGAGCATGGCTCCAGTTTTTGATGTTGATTCGGTGGAAGCCATGAAAAAATGCACAACCAAATACTCTTAGGAAATAGTAATCATGTTGTTTTTTATATAGAAATTGATGAGGAGAATTGAAATTTGTAGCACGAGACAACAATCTGTTTATAAGGTAGGAAGCAGTAAGCACCGCATCCTGCCAAAACGAATGAGGAATGGATGCATACAAGAGTTCTTGTAGTTTCTATGGGATGACACTATTTTCTTTCGGCAAGACCATTTTGCTCTGGGGTATACAAATAAAAAACTTGATGTTGAATGCCTGGTTGATTGAGAAAAGTGGTGAGGTTAGAATTTATGTATTCTTTCCCTCCAATAGACCATAGGCATTTGATATGATGAGATGTTTTCTTTTCCACAAGACATTTAAATATGATAAAAACAGAGCACACCTCAAATTCATATTGAATAGGAAAAACCCAAGTAAAATGTGAAAAATCATCAATAAAAACTACGTAATACTTGAATCCTTGATGTAAAGTAACTGAGGACGGACCCCAAACATGAATAATGTCTAAAGGGGAGATGGTATAGATGTAGAATTAGGAAAAGACAGTTTATGGCCTTTGGAGACCTTACAATTAGTACACACAATGCTATGAGTGGGCATATGAAGCTGTTTATTATTGTTGGATACAATGTTGAGAATATGGGAGTGAGGGTGAACAAGTCTTTGATGCCAGATTGAGGATGCTTGACGGGTAGCAGCTAACGCAGATTTACTAACAGGAAGCATAGCCGACCGAATGGGCATAAACCTTTATGGCTTGGTCTCGATAGAAGTGGTTGATTTGTCGGCAAATCCTTGATGACAAAATCAGATGCACTAAAACAAATAAAGACATTGTTGTCCTTGGTTAGATTGGAAATAGATAAGAGATTGTATGAAAGTTTTGGTATATGCAGAAGCGGGGAGATGTTAAGCTTATGAGATGGAGTTGGCAGAATACCATTACCAGAATGAGCTATTGGTAGAGATCTACCATCTCCTATACCATCTCCTATAGTGATGTTGTCATTGCCATTGTATGGTGCTGTTTGAGACAGATTGCCAAGCGAGTATGTGAGATGAGCATATGCACAAGAATCCAAGTACCAATCAGCATTGATAGGCTCATTTGCTGCAACCATAGCTCGAGATGATGATGAATTTGGTGGGAGCATCTCCGGAGTATTGTAGCTTGTGTTAAGCCTGTGCCAACAGTTGTGCGCTGAATGTCCTTGTTTGTTACAAATTTAGCATGTTATGACATTTGATGAAGCTGTTTTTGTTGTTTGAGTAGTAGATCGACCACGCCCCCTACAACCTCATCCTCTTGATGAGTATAGAGTTGTAGAGAAATCAACAATCGAAACCTGATTGATTGATTCAACTTGGATATTGATTTCTTCACTGATTAGAAGAGAGTATAGGTCATCAAGACTTATTGGATGAAGCTTTGTACGAATAGATGTCTTGAAAGCTTGAAATGAAGGTGGAAGACCGTTTAGAATGTACAGTATGATATCTTCCGTATCAGCTGTCAATCCCGCCGCTGCTATGTTATCGACATGGACTTGATTTCCGTGAGGTACTGAGATATTGTGAGATTCTTCATTTGAATGTGTGAAGCTCATTTTGAGCTGTATAACTCTAGATCTGTTTTATTATTGAAGTCTACACTCGATTGTTGTCCAGATAGCCGAACAAGACTCAAGATGTATCACATACGGAAGAATCGTCGGAGACCGAGTTGAATATATGACTGCTGCTAGATTTTGGTCAATGAGAACCCATTCATTGTATTTGGGATTGATTTCAGGGGACCAATCTTGTAGTAGACAAAGACGAGGGGGTTGGGAAACCGAAGGAAGAAGAAAATTCACATATCCGTTAGCATTCAAAAGTTTAAGAATCTACAATTTTCAGACCGAATAGTTATCTAGAGATAGCTGAGTGTGAACGATGATCTTGATGTTGGAGATGACGAACTTGAGAGACGCCGGCATGCTGCAATGATCATCGAAGGATACAACGTGCCGTTTTGCAGTCCGCCACGAAGAAGAGTTCGCCATGGAGGGAAAAAGAAAGAACAAGAAACAAGACTAAACATGCTGTGATACCATGAAGAAAGGTATGACAGGAATGAAACAAGAAATGAATACATAAATGATCTTGTATTCTATATTCTGCATACAACTACACACACGTATTTATAGACAGTACAAACAAATAGTATCTGTACATGTGTAAGTGACAGCTGGTAAAATGCAGTTAGAAGAGTTTAAGGCAAACATTATATATCTGTTATTAGTTAAGTTATCATAGATCCTCCATGATCTTTAGAGTATGCTCAGAGTTAAAGAAAATGAGCTGCTGTTGCATTAGCTGATTGGATAGTACCAGTGTACCACAAGGACCATTTTGTTTATAAAATATTACCATGATAGGAGCTTTCCACCTTACATACCTTGGCGTACCAACTGAATTAAGAAGGGTTATGATTGTTGGCACATAAAACACCGCCCATTTGGGGACTTCAACTTCCTCAAAGAAGACCGATAAAGGAATCACCACACAGTAGGAGAAGAATGTGACACAGTGTGATATAATTCGTCGGGCTATGAAGAAGTTGTAGAGAACATGACATTTTCTCCAGAAAGAAACTTTCTGCATGGTTACCAGATTTATTTCAGTTTTAAAATGATGGTATGCTAGAACTACATGCTTCAAGCTTTAGCTAAACAATAAATATATGGCGACTAAAGCGGATAAATACAATTGCAAGTCGGGGCTTTCACTTATAACAGCAGTAAATCCCTCAAATTATATCAAGGGAGTGGTGAAGCAATAAGAGAGTTCGGGAGAACTTCATAGAATACATATCTCTATGATGGATATATGGTAAATACTAAGCAAAATGCGAGTGGATGGGGGAACAATAACATCAAGTTGAGATTTATTTGGTTGATTAAGGATGGATGAGTTGGACTGATAAAGATGACCGGAAAGATGATAATTTCCACAGGATTCAGGAAATATCTAGAAAAAAAACGATTTTAGATGTATTTTGTATGGAAAGTGGTTAACTGGTTATATTTTATCAAAATATTTCGGTAAAACCATTTGCAGACAATAAATATAGATTGTTTACCTTGGCATGCACAATATCAGTTAGCATTTTCCGGAAGAGATTCGCAGGTCCACATGCCCAGCGATGTTGTTGGTGACGATAGGCCTTAAAAGTGCTAGGTAGTTCACTTTTAACCTGACAAGAAATTAAAAGAAGACCAAGCTTTATGCACGTAGCTCAATATTTTCAGCCATAAATAAAAATATGAAAAGCATAAGAGAGGGGTTCCATGCTTATAAATTACAACGATCGTTTGGTGGGATAAAGTTTGTATTTATATTAATTCTACAGTGCGAGGCATTTGCATTTGGATTGTCACATAATTATATGGATCTAAGTAAAAGTGGACGGATTAGAGCTTTCAAGGTAAAAACAGTGATTATTACACGATCAAAATAAATCTATGGCATGTTTGCAAGAACCGTCTGCAAGAAAGTCACTTAACTATGGAAAGTTTGTTTCACGATATGTTAGCATAAACGTACCATATATTTAGATATGAGCACACAACATGTTCAATGGTTAAATGTAAGGCGTATACCCAATATGTAAATCAACACAAGCTAAGGTGATAGGGTGAACTCGTCAAGAGATCAAGATGCCTCAAGAGTCGCCAGCCTCAGCCTCAGAGTCATCGCTGTGGTCTCTAAAAATTCATGCCCCAACCTTACCATATTTCGGGAGAGTTTTGTAGGATGTGTTGCGAATCAAATTTTTATAAGGCAAATTAGTTTTAAAGTGAGACATTAACTAGAAATTTCGCCCTCAATTTGTCAGAATTTTAAGGTATGAGTTTTGATTTCCCATAGGCACAAACAGCTATGGCTAATTATCTCCCATAAAAAAAGAACACTTTCTATTGAGGATAGTCTTTGGATAGCATTAAGTACCTGGTATATAGCAACAACAAATTGAGTATTAGAATTATGAAATCTATCAATTTGCACTAAAAACAGATGATGGAGGGAATGGTGACAAACCTAATCAAAATCTCATGATTTTTTAGTCCAGGAAATTGCTGTTTCACCCTCTCGTATGGTTCCCATGTGACATCATAGTCAGACAAATTCTTCCACTTGATTAGCACTTCCTTAGCTTAATATTTTTTCTCGCTAACCCCCATCAACTCTAAGGGTTCCAGAATCACCTCCGAATCCTCAGTAAATGTTGCCGGCTATGATGCACGGACACGACACGGCGACACGGACATGACACGACACGGACACGGGACACGACTTTTTTTGAAAATATAGGACACGTGTACGGCGCGGACACGGCAACACATTTTTTTATATAGTGTATATATATTAATGTAATATCAAATTAAAAATGACAAACAATAATAAATGAATGACATGATAACTTGTCTAGCTTATAATATTAAATATTTAATACAAAATATCTAGTACAACCACAAAAATATAAGCAAATAATCACTTACTGCAACATCAAGCATTCAAGCTTCAACTATTAGGATTAGCTTTAGAGGTTTGTTTTTGGCCTTCAATATCATCATCATTGAATATCACTACTTTCAACTCTGGCTCAACAAGAGAAATATTTGTAATTGTGCAAAAAGAGAGGAGATGAAAATACCTTCACTGCCAAAGAGAAATGAAAATGAAAATGAAAATATTCGATGAATGGGTATTAAATGCAGACGTTGATTTGGTGTTGTGGATATGAAATAAGAAATTTAGTTTAAATCTCGCAAAATATAAGAAATTATATTTTAAAAAAATTATAAAATATTTAAGATACGCGTGTCGGACACGCATGTCCAATTTATTTTTAATATTTTTTTAATCGGACACGTTTTCAGCGTGTCAGACACGTGTCGGAGGAGTGTCGGACGAGTGTCGTGTCGGACACGGTGTCGGACACGACACTCGTCCGACACTGCACGCCTCTTTGAGGAGAAGTGTCGGTGCATCATAGGTTGCCGGTAACTCCGAGCTAGATGTATAAATCTCCAATGGCTCTTCTCAACTGCGATACATGGAAAATCGGATGTATAGTCGCCGTTAGTGGTAGTTTCAACCGATATGCTACTTCTCCAATATTTTCCAATACTACATAAAGTCCAAAGTACCTTGGAGAAAGCATCTCATTTCTCCTATTGGCGACTGTCTTCTGTCTGAATTGTCGAAGCTTCAAGAACACCCTATCTCCTACTTCAAACTGGATGTCCTTCCTATGCCCATCAGCTTGTTTCTTCATAATTTGTTGAGCTCTCAGTAGATGTTTCTTCAACTCCTCTAACACTCTATCCCTCTCCCCCAAGTACTCCTCCATTGAAGAAACGAGAGTACTACTAGTCCCAAAATGCTCCAAGTGAGGAGGATCCCTTCAGCACAACACCTTGAATGGGATCATCTGATAAGCAGAATGAAAAGAGGTGTTGTACCAGTGCTCAACCCATGATAGCCACTTGGTCCCATAGCTTGGGTGTCTCCGACACAAAGCATCTCAGGTAGGTCTCCAAGCTCCTGTTGACCACTTTTGTTTGGCCATCCATCTTTGGGTGGTAAGCGGTGCCTATCTTCAGAGCTGTCACTTATAATCTAAACAACTCTCTCCAAAAGTGGCTGAGTAACACCTTATTCCTATCTGATACTATCACCTTTGGTACTCCATGCAATCTCACCACTTGATGTAGGCGGGGAGGGGGGGGGGGCTCGGGGGGGGGGGGGGGGGGGACTCATTTACCAAAATCTTGGGCTGCTGATTGCTTCTCGGTTTGGGCTTAGCTGTGTGATTTTTACTGAGTTTTTGGGAGCTGTTGTGCTTCAGCTCATTAATGCTGAGCTGATGCTTCTTTTCAGCTCATAAATTAACATAAGGTTCATTCCCCCTTCTCTGTGCCCCTTCGGTTCCTCCTCCTAACTCCTTCTCATGGCTAGTTCTTCCTCCCCCTTTGGCTGCTGGTTCCAGTTCCCTGTGGTGCCCGTTCCTTCCCCCTTGTGGCTGCCTGTTCCGGTTCCCTGTGGTGCCCGCTCCTTCCCCCTTTGGCTGCCTGTTCCGGTTCCTTCCCCCTTTGACAAGCTCGCAAGCTTTTATAAGAAGAAAACCCAAAGGTTTTTGGCTTCCAAAAATTACTTCATAACATTATATATATATATATTATATATATATATATATATATATATATATATTATATATAATATATATTATATATATATATATATATTATATATATATATATAGGAGAAAGGGGCAGTCAAACAATCCAAATTATCTCCAACCAAACCAATTAAAATAGGAGAAATAGAAGGCCAGGAGCAGCAGCCGAAGGGCCACACAAGAAATCAGAAAAATAGCCACGGGAGATAGGAACAGGCACCATAGAGAACCGGAACAGGCAAACACAAGGGGGAAGAAACGAGCACCACAGGGAACCAGAACAGGCAGCCACAAGGGGGACAGGAACGGACACCACATGGAACCAGAACCGGCAGCCAAAGGGGGAGGAAGAACCATCCACGGGAAGGAGTCAGGGGGAGGAACCAAAGGGGCACAGAGAAGGGGGAATGGACCTTAATTATGTTAATTTATGAGCTGAAAAGAAGCATCATCTCAGCATTAATAAGCTAAAGCACAACAGCTCCCAAAAACTCAATAAAAACCGCAAATCTAAGCCCAAACCGAGAAGCAACCATCATCCCAAGATTTTGGCAAATGAGTTGCCCCCCCTTGCCTACATCACCACCTCTCTGATGAAAGCTGAAGCCACTGTCACCGTAGTGTAAGGATGTCGGAGGGAGATGAAATGAGCATACTTGCTTAATCTATCTACCACCACCAAAATCACTGTGAAGCCTTCTGAACGGGGCAACCCATCTATGAAGTCCATAGATATCTCCTCCCATACTCATCCCGATAAAGCCAATGGCTGTAGTAGTCCCCATGGCGACATAGCCAGGTATTTGTTTCTCTGGCAAATCCCACACCTAGCCATCATCTCCTCTACATCTCTATACATCCCCTTCCAGTAAAGCTCTAAAGCTAACCTCCTGTAGGTCTTCTGAATACCTGAATGGCTCCCAATCACGCTTCCATTAAACTCCTGGAGTAAGTTTGGGATGTAGATTGAGGTCCGGGGCATCACGAATCTCCCCTGATACAACAGTCTGTCACCTTCCATTGAATACCTTGGGTGGCTACCACATTCCCTCAATAAATATGTCTTGATCTTTCCCAACTCCTTATCCCTAGTGCTCTCCCCCCTTATGGCCTCCCAATCCAGCATCAAAGGAACAAACAGTGCCACTATCTGCAGCTCCCCCATACATCTGGACAAGGCATCTGCCGCCTTGTTATCTCCTCCTGGTCTATATTGGATTTCAAAATCATACCCAAACAATTTGAATAGCCACCTCTGATGCTCCAACAAGTATTTCAAGCTCCTTTGATCTATTCTGACAATGAAATGTATGCCTAACAGGTAGGTCGCCACTTCTGGATGGCTAAGAAGATGACCATCAACTCCCTCTCATAGATTGATTTCAACCTGGCTCTAGCTGTCAACACCTGTCTGAAGTAGGTAATGGGTCGCTGATCCTGTATAAGTATTGCCCCCAATCCGTATCTTGAAGCATCTATCTCCACTATGAAGGCCTGAGTGAAGTCTCGTAAAGCTAAGACTTGTACAGTGGTCATAGCCTTCTGTAGTTTCTCAAATGCTACTTTGGCTGCCACTCCCCATAAGAATCCATCTTTCTTTAGCTGCTCTGTCAGCGGCCATGCGATAGTACTATACACTTTTACAAATCTTCTGTAGTACCCTGTCAGCCCTAAGAATTCTCTGAACTCCTTCAAATTCTTAGGTAAGGGCCATCTCAACATAGCCTCCACCTTTGACTGATCGGCTGCCACCCCTTCCTTGGACATGAAATGACCCAAGTACTCTACACTAGTCTGGACAAAGCAACACTTCTTCAAGTTGGACCTCAATTGATGCTCCTGTAGAACTCCCAAGACCAACTTCAAGTGCTTCAAATGCTCCTTAGTTATGCTGTACACCAAGATGTCATAAAAAAAAACCAAAACAAACTTTCAGAGGTACTGTCTGAACACTTTGTTCATCAGTGACATGAAAATAGCAGGGGCATTGGTAAGCCCAAATGGTATAACCA